TTCTCAGATCAGATCAGCCTGTGGCCATGTCTGTGGGGAATTGTCTTGACTACTGTGTGATGTGGGAGGGCCCAGCCTACTGTGTGCAGTGCCACCCCTGGGCAGGTGGTCTTGGGTTGTCTAAGAAATCTGGCTGACAAGAATGGACTCCCTCTTTTGAAGCCATTGACCAGGCATACCATGGACTCTCAAACAATACTGGCCATTGCCTGTTCTTGGTTATCCACCAAACCTTGATGGTGAGACCATATTGCTGAAGACGATGCACACATGAGCTTCAAACAAGCTGGTGTGGACTTCAAAGCCTTGTCTCTACTGCCTAGTTTTCGTAGCGCTGGAAGGTACTATACAAGCTACCTGAAGAGAAAATTTAGCATGAATCTTACCCCATTGTGAATGTTTATAGAACACTTACTCCAATCTCTAAAAGCAGATCTTTAACTTAAAAAATTATTATTTTATATGTATGACTGTATTGCCTGCATGTGTGTTAAGTGCACCCATGTCATGCAATGCCCGAGGAGGTCCTAAGAAGGCATCAGATCCCTGACCTGGTAAGATATGTCTGCTGGCGCCAACAGTGACATGAATATAATGGGAATAACCAACCACTTTCTAATTGGATTTAAGGTCCACTTCATGGGATGGAACCCATATCAGACACTGATATTAGTCCTAGGAATCTCAGGCTAGACAGGTAATTGGCTATACAGGAGAGCCCAATACTATTATTCTGCTAAACAGATATAGTATTAAACTGACTCCTAATGGCTTATTGTTATACCCATAGATTAAGCATTTCTCAACTCTCAGCAGAAAGGTTTTCTTATACAACAGATAGTGACAAACACAGAGAACCACAACTGGTCAACTTGCAGAGAACAAAAGGCTGCAGACTACTTATCCTGAATAGGACACCTGTATCAAACAACGGCTTCCCAAGGCTCAGGGATCATTGCAGAAGAGGGGGGTGGAAAGACTGTAAGAGCCAGATGAGGTGGATGAGTGGAAGTAAACAGAGTTCTCTAGGTAGTTGGTCAAGTGCTCATATGAACTCATAGCAATGGTAACAGCATGCCTATGTCCTACGTAAATTCAAGCCATACAAAATCCCAGCATAGACGTGGGGAAGTATATAAGAAACTCTAACCTGAGGATGTATTGGCAACCGAAGACTGTTGAGAGGCTGAGAGTCAGTCTCATTTAAGGGTGAGACTCTTGGTAGTTAACCAGGCTCCAATGGATAAAACTACACCGAAGGGCATTTGGAGACACAAATTTGACTCTATATGCATATATATATATATATATATATATACACACACACACACACACACACACATATATGTATATGAAGTTCATATATATGAAATTGGGTGGAGGGTTAGTAAGGGGGTGCAGTGGGGGAGGGAATCTAAATAGGATCAAGATATACTGTATGAAATTTGCAAAAATTCAATAAAAATAACTATATAAAAAGAAAGCTGGCTGAGCATAAGCCCAGGAGAGCAAGTCAGTTAGCAGTGTTCCTCCATGGTCTCGTCTTCAGTTCCTGCCTCCAGGTTCCTGCCCTGACTGCCCTCAAAGATGGACTTGTTGCCTACAAGTATAAGCTGAACTAAATCCTCTCTTCCCCAAGCTGCTTTTGGTAATGCTGTTTATCACAGTAATGGAAACAAGGCAGAGCACACACTGTATTCATGCGTGAAATGACCAAAGAACATATTTTAAAAAAGATCAGTTTGGACTTTTATTGTTACCATTCTTTTTTGTGAGAGGCAGAATATTGCTATGTAACCCTGGCTGGCCTTGAACTCACAGAGATCCACCTGACTCTGCCTCCTGAGTGCTGGAATCAAAGGCATGTACCACCATTATTTATAACTGGTTGAAACTTTTGGCCCAGCATCCCCCTGTGCTTGTGTCCATTAGAATGAATGTCAAGGAAAGGGATGAGAGTGTGGCTGCGGGTTTTAGTACGACACTGATGCTTCTGAGACTTTCCTCCATACAATGTAGAGAGATGGGAGCGCAACCACCATCACCACAAATGAACAAGGAGGCTGGTGCACAGGCTTACCACGTTCCTTAAAGGGAGAACAGTAGACTTCAAATGCATAGTCTTGGACATGCTCTCTCAGCTTTATTGTAACCCCAGGTTCCTCCACCATAAAGTGGGAGATCAGAATATCTTCTTCTTGAGAGTAAAGAGATTAAAATGCAAAACATTTAGAGCAATGCTTGTCATGTGGTAATGACACAGACATGCATCATGCTAACTCGTTCATTAAGATCCTTTTGCCGATACATGCACAGAACATCCCCGGAAAGATCCCTAGGTTATTAAGTACATAGCACTGTTTCTCTCAGCGGGAGTGGGATCTGAGAGTTGGAGGGGGTAAGATTTATTCTTTTGCACTGCTTGAAGTTTACCCTATACACACATTTCCCAACCAAAGACAGTAAATATTATGAATAGCCCCCAAATATCTTTAAATGTTTAACATGTTACTTTTTTTTTTTTATCAGAATTCCCTGTCTATTCTTTCAGGGAAGACTAGGAAATTCATCTTCATTCTTAATTACCCTCAAGGAGGAGTCCCCAAACTATGACTTTTGTCTAAATCTAACCTTTGGTCTACTCTTGTATGCCTTTCAACCTAAGAATAGTTTTGACACTTTAAAAAGGGCTGTAGAGCTGGACATAGTGGTACACACCTGTAATCCTAACACTTAGAAACAGGAGGATCAGGAATTCAAGGTCATCCTTTGATATATAGAGAGTTCAAGTCCAGCCTGAACTACTTGAAATCCTGTGATAAAAACAAATAAAAACAAATAAAAAACCATAGAAGGACTGTATGTACAAAATGAAAATTCAGTTGATACCTATTATTTTGTTCTTCACTGAAAAAGTTTCTCTAGGGAAAATTCTGCTTTAGAAACTTTCATAGCAACCACTCAGATGGGTTGGTCAGAGTAAGGGGACAGTGACTTTTATAATGGTCACTGCTCAACTAGGATTCTGATGAAGCTATTCACTGCAAAAATATTTCTCCCTGGAGCAGGGGATGATGTGTTTCCATCCCTTGTTCCCAGTATATTTTAGTAATAAAAGTCTTTGATTGTTTGAGGAAATTACTTCTTGTCTGAGCAGATTAGCCCAGTTACTGTTAATAGTTGCTGCCTTTTATGGCAGGGTGGTTACATTTTGCTGAAGGACATGGTGGGAGAGTAACACTAACAGAGACCACTAGATGGGGCTGTAGTTCTGAGAAATAGACTGAGAAGGTGCTGCGAGTGGAGGGAGGAGGAAATCTTGTGATTTCAGAATATTTTCTGTACTGGACCCAGACAGATCTCATTCTAGACTTGACTTTGCCACATACCTACTATGTGACTGTTGGCAAACAATCATAAGTCTACATATGCTTAATTATAAAATGAGTATTGTACTAATGCCAACCTTAAAGAGTTGCTGTGAACATCGACCAAGGAGAGCAGTGCACATGTATCAACTTTAACACTGGCAAGACACATGATTAAAGCTATTCCTTGAACACAATTCTCAAGACTGTCATGACCTCCTTGTATGAAAATGAGGACTTGGTGGGGCAGGGCAACAGTGGGTGTAGGGAAGCCACAGTTCATTGAGCATGGCAGGTGGATCAATGCGGTTCCACGCCACAGCTGGATATTAGATAGGAGCAGGATGTTTTAGGGAACCATTGTATACTTACAAAAACTATAGGTACAAATATGCAGTGTGTGTTTCAAAAGACTAGAAAGAAGGATTTTGAACATTTTCACTGCAAATGATAAATCTTTGAGGAGAGATGTTAATCCTGGTTGAACATTATATAATGTGTAGATGCATTAAAACATCTCATGGTAACAACATATGCAGTTTTAATGTTTATGCAATTACATATCAGTTAAAAATAAATGTAGGGGTTTGGGAGATAGTTCAGTTAGTAAAGTGCTTGCTGTGGACTGAATTCAGGTCCTTAGCATGCATGTAAAAAAGCTAGGCATGGAAGCATGTGCCTGTATTCTTAGTGGTGAGGAAGCAGAGGCAGGAGAATCTTGAAGGCTTCCTGGCCAGTCAGCCTCACTGAATTGGCAAACTCCAAGTTCAGTGAGAAATCCTATTTCAGAAAATAAGTTGGGCAGTGATGGAGAAAGACACTCAATACTGACCTCTGGACTCCACAGATATGCACCTGCATGAACATGTGCACGTGCGCATGCACACACACACACGTACATGCACACATGCACACACAATATATTTAAATAAAAGAGCTAGCCTTGCAAGGGTTGTGGAGATGTAGTGAGGTAATCCATGTCAAGCATCTTGTACAGTGTCTCGAACAGAGCAGCTCATTGGTAGATGTCACATTGTGACCAGGCTGCTCCATGCTTTGTGATTCTGTCCTTGGGGTCCTATCTCTTCCTGTCTCCTCTCTCTTCTCACATCTTATTTTAACCACTTTGATCCATGGAATGGGAAGACGTACTAATGTCAACCTCTGGGCTCCACATGTGCTGACATGGGTGTGCAAACCTGCACATGCATGTGCACAGACATAACTTATGTATACATACACATCACTTCTCTATGTGCATTGCAGCCATCCATCCATCTATCCATTTATCCATCTGTCCATCCATCCATCTCTCTATCCACCCATTCATTTATTCATCACTTTCCATCAACCCCTCTATCCATCCTCCTCCCACTGTTCATCTCTTCATCCATTTATCCATCTATCCACCCATCCAAAACAATATCAAAAGTAACATTCCAGCTCCAATAGTATAGAATAGGGATATCATTAGCATCCACTAAAGCAAGTTATTGTGAATTCTTAAATGATATTATACAAGCAAAGCATCTGATCACAGAAGCTCAACAAATGATAACTTGTTCTTATGAAGACCTGAATACCACACCCAAATGCCACAGCTTAACCTCTTCCCCAGTCAGACATCAAACATCCAGATCAATTTTATTATCCAGGAATTTGGAAAGGCATAGGGTGAAGAAATCTGGAGAAGCAGGTAGACTTAGGTGGAACAGTGAACAGAGACTGGGAACCTGATGGGAGGGGAGGGTCATATGGGAATAGCATCTCTGATTAAAATACTTCTAGAAGCCAGTCCATCTTTCCAGATGATCTTACTGCACCATGATGCCCGTCCATGAGAGTAGACAGGAAGCAACAGCGCGGGCAGGACTGAGGAACATGATGCTGGCTTGCTCTTGTCCACTGAGAAGGCTCCCACTATATCAGGGCCGTGTGGGGCCGGATGGGCATGTTGACCCGGTTCTGTAGCCAGTTTATATAATCTTCTTGGGGCATGTGGATGATGTGTTCTCGTACAAACTGTAGGTTAAATATAGTATCACTCTCTGAATTCGATTTGCAAGCTGGACTACAACCCCTCCCCACCCTCTCCTTGACATCCCAGAAGACTTGGTGATTGAGACTCCAGATGCTTCAATGATTCAGGCATTCATATTTAGGTTGGTGCAAAGATAATTGTGGTTTTTACATTGCTGACATTTGTTATTTGATATTGGAATACATTCTTAAGTAAATGGGGTTACATTAGACATCATTCCAATACACACTCCTTGTGCTAGTGTTTTCTCACTTGCTGTTTACTTTATACCACGGAAATGAGGTTAGACAAAAAGTAAATTTGAATGATTTTCTTATTTGAGTTCTAAATGGGTTGTAAAGCACTGGAGACAACTCACAGCACCAACAACACATTTGGTCCAGGAACTGCTAATGAATGTGCAGTGCAGTGGTGATTCAAGAAGTTTGCAAAGGAGATGACAACCCAGAAGATAAGAATCCTCATGGCTGGTTGTGTGAGGTGACAACTATGAATTGTAGCAATCATTGAAGCCAGTCCCTTCCCGCCGCACACAAGCTTGCCAAAGAGCTTGGCATGGATCTTATAACAAATCAGCAAAGTGACAAAGCCCAATAAGTGTGTGTGGGGGTCATGAGTTAACCAAAAATAAAAAGGTCATTATTTTGAACTATTGTCCTCTTATTCTACACAACAACAAACCATTTCTCAATTGTGACATGCAGTGAAAAGTGGATAGCATAGGACAGTGTTGGTCAATGACCAGCTCAGAGGTTGGATCCAGAAGAGGTTCTAAAGGACTTCCTAAAGCTAGATGTGTACCAAAAAGTCATGGTCACCACTTGCTTGTCTGCTCCTGGTCTGGTTCATTACAGATTTCTGAGTCCTGGTGAAATGATTACGTTTGAGAAGTGTAGTCAGCAAACGGATGAGAGGCACCAGCACATGAAATGCCTACAGCCAACACTGACCAACAGATCAATGCTTCAAAAGTTGAACGAATTGGGTTATGGGGTTTTAACTCACCCACCATATTCATCTGACCGCTGGACAACTGCCTACTGTTTCTTCAATCATCTCAACAGCTTTTTGCAAGGAAACCGCTTCCACAGCCAGCATGGTGCAAGTAATGCTTTCCAATCTCAAAGCATGGGTTTTTACATGACAGGAAAAACAAACATGTCTTTTGGGCAAAAAGTGTGCTGATTGTAATGGTTCCAATTTTGGTTTGTAAACATGTTTGAGCTGATTTATAATGACTTAAGAGTCACTGTCCAAAATTCCAATTCTTTTTGTACCAACCTGTAATAATACTTAGGGTATCAGTCCAGACTGGTCCTTTTGGGAAAAGGACTCCCTCTCCAGTTTCCTGGTTCAGCAAGATACTTTTAAGATTCATCTCGTTATTGACCCAAGGAAATTTGAGGAGAGGAAGAAAACCCAGCTGGACACAGTTTTTTTTTTGCCTTTTAAAAAACATTTATTTATATTTATGTGTATGAATGTTTTCCTTGCATGTATGTAAATACACATGTATCACGCAGTGCCCGAAGAGGCCAGAAGAGGGCATCAGATCCCCTGGAACTGCAGTTGCGGATAGTTGTTAGCCCCCATGTGGGTGCTGGGAACTGAGCTCAGGTCCTCTGCAAGAGCAGTCAGTGCTCCCAAACACTGAGCCATCTCTTTAGCCCCCCTTTCTACTTCTTAATATCTTAAGGTCTTTATTAGTGTATGTTCACTGAATGAAGCAATGACATTTTTGCACAAGTAGATCATGTACTTTGACAGTAGCCATTCATTACCCTCTCTTGTCCCTACTCTCATTAGTTCCTTTCCTATTTCCCAGTAGTACCCCCATTATATTTTCATGGTGTGTGTGTGTGTGTGTGTGTGTGTGTGTGTGTGTGATCTAGGTTCTACATATGAAGGAAAATGTGATATTTGTCTGAGTCTGGCTTATTAAATTAATATGATGATCTCCAATTCCATGCATTTTCCTGCAAATGTCATGAACATTTTTATAAAGTCATTTATCATTAATTTTTTTTGTTCATAGACTCCTTTGAGAATGACAGATCTGACACAAAACCTAGTATTTCATGCAGACTCCTGCTGTCAGACATTATGCCATGTTCTCCTTGCCAGGGGCATGGTAAGTGTTAACCACCAAGCCTGTGAGCCCACTTCAGGAAAAGAGTATACCTAGCTCTTCCCTCCTTATTGCTCAATAACTGTCTCTTCCATGTACCCCCATAACTGGTGGGTGAGAGCTGGTTCCACAAGTGGCAAGTGGCGAGGTGGAATTATGCCTTCAAAGTAGCCTTTGTCCTTAGTCTGGCAGAGATTTTCCTAAAGGAGCCTCATAGAGTGTAGAGAAGATGCTAGACATCTGAATTGGTCCCCAGGGCCACCTCCTCACCACTCCTGATCTTGTCCTGTGCACACATCCCCACAAGGTCATCCTGTGGAGGGGTAAACCTGGCACAAATACGCAAGGATTTCCAAGCTTGTCTAGTCTTAAAAATCCACCATTTGAATCACTTCCTTTTTCTGGAGTCATTGATGTTCCTATTAAAATATACATATGGCATCTGATAAAATTAAAGATGCAGGAGCTAGAGAGATGGCTCAGTGGTCAAGAGTGTGTACTGCTCTTGCAGAGGATCTGCTAGCACCCACGTCAGGAAGCTCATAGTTGCTTGTAACTCCAGTTCCAGGGGATCTAACACTATTCTTTGGCCTCAGTGGACATCTGCACTCATGTTCTCTCTCTCTCTCTCTCTCTCTCTCTCTCTCTCTCTCTCTAAGTTAAGGATGCACCATAACCATTTTCTAAAAGTACTGGGAATTGAAGTCAGGCTTTACACATGCTATACAAGTGCTCCATCACTGAGCTTTTCACTATTGACTTTGAGATAGGTTCTGGCTAAGTTGACCAAAATGTTTTTGTATTCACCCTATAGCCCAGGCAGGCCTTGAAATTGTTAGCCTTCTATCTCAGCACCCCCACCCCGCACCCGAGTAGCTGAGATTATCACTATGTCTGGTTCTACAAGAATCTTTATCCTTCTCTGTGGACTCTTTACTGTTGATGAAATTGATGTCTTAAGCCTTAAGGGATGATGATGATGGTGAACACCATTGAAAGCCCTTTAGTGGCTCCTTAGCACCCTTGAGATAGAGACCTAAATGTCCACCTTGACTTTCACAAGTCTGCTCAGGCTGATTTAGGCACTTCCTAGCTCTTTTTCTGCCATATCCATTGACTTGCAATGAATTTCTCCAAGTCAGGCCATATCCTGCTCTAGGGCCTTTGCACTTACTGTCCCTTTTTGATCCATCCTTCCCCTGTCTCTACATGAGTCTGACTTCTCACCATTCAAGTCTTAGCTTACATGTCACCTTTCCCAGTTGAGATAGGTCCTCCTTAATTTACTTTAAACCATAATTCCTCTACTTCATGATGTATGCAACACACCTGGGGCCCCATTAACATGCCAATTGTGAGTTGGCAGATTTGGTGTGGAGCCTGAGGGTCCACACTTCTCACAAGCACCCAGGTGAGGTCCATGCTGCTGGTCCATGGACCACATTTTCAACAGCACACTTTGGAATTCTCCTTATGTCTCCTCTTGACCCTTGAGACTCAGGGAGTACTATTTAAGTAGACTCCAATGACCCATGGAGCTAAAGTTGAACATCCAGTCACGTGACAATCCATTTTCAACTAGAATATGAGCTCCAAGAGGTCAGGGTCTTTGTTAATTTTGTTCATTTGGTTCCCTTCACTTGAGTAGGCCCTAGATATGAGAGACGACAGAATGAGGCACTGTATAATAAAAAGGTATGGTAATCACCTCGATGGCCACAGCTATGTCTGGAGAGCACAGTTCCCAGAGCCTCAGGTCCTGTAGCACCTTCAGGAGGACATGGGGTCGGATCCTCAAGTCCAGATTCTCCCCAAACTTCTGTAGTTTCACCAGGATCTTTTTGGCAGGGTGAAAGTTCTTCAGATCCTCGGGGAGTTTGGACAACAGATCAAAGTACCTTCAATTCCAAGAGGAGAGAGCCAGTTAGGAACTTCCTGGGATGGGATTTAGGGACCCTTGGGTCTTCTTTCTTTTCTTTAAAACAATATTTTATTTATTGCTCTCTCCTGCCCGCAGGCCTCTCTCTGGGGTAAGTCCATTGTGCCCTCTGCACCTTGACTCCCCCAGCCTCATTCACTCTCCTATCTTCCACGTTGGCCTCTCCTCCTAGTTTGGGTCCTGCCCCATTCCTTGTCTTGGGACCCCAGACACCTGGGGAACCAATACTGCTTCCTGATCCTTTTCATCCAGACCAACCTAGTGCCTTCTCTGGGCCCCAGGAGCACTGCCTCTGGGCCTGGCCCCTCCCGCACCTCCCTCTGCTTCCCTGGGCCTCCACCACCCTCTAGCCTCTTTCTGGGATGCAGGGCTGACCTTTTCTCTTCCTGATCCTTTGCATCCAGAACAACACAGCTCGGAACCAATACTGCTTCCTGATCCTTTTCATCCAGACCAACCTAGTGCCTTCTCTGGGCCCCAGGAGCACTGCCTCTGGGCCTGGCCCCTCCCGCACCTCCCTCTGCTTCCCTGGGCCTCCACCACCCTCTAGCCTCTTTCTGGGATGCAGGGCTGACCTTTTCTCTTCCTGATCCTTTGCATCCAGAACAACACAGCTCACA